GAAACTGAATTCTTTCTCATGTTAACCAGATTAGACGAGATTCAATTGTTCCTGCCTCCTGTCATGGCTGCCATCACGTGATGGTTGTAAGAAAATAATAATAATAATTTATTTCTAGTGCATTCAAAAAAAAACAAAAATCTCAACGCCCTTAAAATGGAAACAACAAGGAAGAAAAAAGGAAAAGGGAAAAGAACGAACAAAAAAAGAAATCTGAGATGAGATTAAAAGTTTTTAATGATCCCAAGTTAGAAATGACGACTCGAAGCGAAACACCTTGTGTGAGAAGAACCTTTTGTCATGGCTACCATCACGTGATGGTTCAAAGCCTCTGTACTTCTTCTTGTCCTCGTTCCATTTTTTGGGAGCCTTACCCCATCCCAACGCCATCCACACCCCATTTCAAAATATATAGCCCTATGTACCCACCTCTCCCAAAAGTATAACCCTCCAAATCCTCTCTGACGAACGAATCCCCAGAACCTGTATCGTATACATCCACCCACCACATAAGTATACGTGATGTTTTGGAAAAATGTTATGCTCAACTTTAGAACCGCCGATTACAAAAGAAATTTCAAAACGACCTTCGGATAAAAGCGTGTTCCGTCAAGTTCATTTGATAAATGGTGAAAGAAAAAAAGATCTGTATGAGGTAGACAGCCGGTTACGACATGACTAGACTAGCAAAAACTCTTCACTAATAACAGAAAACTAATTCAAGATCCACATAAAATAAATCATATGAAAATGAAGCACTTTAGACTAGAGACTTAGACACTAGCTTTGTCTAGAAAGTTCTTTTCTAGAGCACAAAACTCAATCCAAAACGAGTGTAAAACATGTTAATTAAGTGACGTCAATGAAGGAGTGATCTGTGAAAATTTAGTTTGCTTTTTGTTTGTTATAGTCGATTTTCTATTTATCTCGCATAGAATATACTTGTTTCAATAAAGTCAGTCACCAAAAGCCTAGGAAGCTGTGATCGCTGAGAATCATGGGGAAATGTTTTATATCTAACAAGTAAAGCTTTTGACACAAACTGCAGCAGTTGAGGATACTCAGAGGAGGTTAACTTGTAACTGGTAGAAGATTTCGAGTCTATCCACAGTTATCAAGCGGTTAAAACATGTAAAATGTATGTATCCATAATCCTTGTCAGTCTCAGCTTTGTAGCTTTTCAGGTGACTAACTTTAATGAACTAAGTGTAAACATCACGTTTTTCTGTATAAATCAATTAAGTCTATATACTATTATCATTACAAATTACAAAAAAACAATTGTTTACTACAGTTAGAACTATAAGAGTTATATATTTTAGTTAGCTGGAAGTAAGACGTAAAGCCTCTTCTATAGACATTGAATTTTGTAGAACGTTCTATAAAACTAACCGAGACAATGACAGAATGACTAACATTGATCTAATTTATTGACTCCTTAAATGTTGTCATCTCATAGAATCAAATATGAGAGAGGGCCTCTAAAAGTGCTATCAAGAAGTAAGAACCATCAGTCATTTTGTCATGTTCGTTTTGTTGAAAAGGTGCACTGAGAGCACGTATAGGAATAAGTAGTTGGAAACCGGACAGAGTTAGACCTCTACTGCTGTGTTGGTAAGGAATAATTCACAGAAGGTAGATATAAATAATATATGTAACTCTTGTATCTAATGATTTGCCAGCTTATACAATGGTATACATTTTCTTTAAATATCATTTTCGATTATTATAAACGAGTGTACGTCCATTAGGGTATACTTAGTGGGGTTCCATATGATTACACTATAGCTAATGCTGTTTTAAGCCCAGATTGGATACCAAGAAAGAGGCCGAAAATCACCAGTTTTCACTATTAAATTTCGGAGCATATTATTCTAAGTAATAGAGGAAATCAGTTCTATGTAGGTGGCCTGTTGTATTAGGATAATCAACCGCGCAATCCCAAACGTTTCAACACGCGCATTTTATTTAAACCATTGAATCCACTTTAATGTCATTCGTTTAGAATTTCCGATACTATAAATGAAAGATATTTTCAACAAATAAATAGATTTAGAAAGTTTTTCAAATTATACTTAAAATAATTAGATTTTTTGGGAAAATAGTTTGTCGTCCTGCTGCTAAAGGTTGAAAGCGTTTGAAGATATGAGGTAAATCATTATTGAAACTACGTCATCGATATCTAAGTTAGGTGTTGCTTTTTTTTCTCTCTCTCTTCCTTTCCTTTCCTTTCCTTTCTTTTCCTCTCTTAGTTTTTTATTTGTGTTGTCTTCGTTCTTCTTCTTTCTATTATTCTTATTCTTCTCTTTTCTGTTTTTTTCGTTAGGTACGTTTTTTTTTGAGAAACGGGCTTGGAAAACATCATCTAGCTTGTTGTTTGTAAACGTAGTAGGTATATATTTGCGAGACAGGAAAAAAAATTCAAAAATGATGTCGGAAGAAAAACAGAAAACAAATGAAAAGGTGCCAAAGAAAATACGAATTAATCGATATATTAAAACCCTTGCGGAACAGAATTACTGAAGAACGTGTAGTGATTAAAATTTTAAGAAAACGGAAACAATAGTTCGACAAAAAAGATAAGAAAGAACAGAAAACGGAGATGCTATGAGCGATACTTAGAAATAAAAGATTATTTAAATAGTGTAGCAAATCCAAAAAAAACTCAAACAAAGAACGAAGTAATTTGCAAAACAAAACAAAGATACAAAAATCAATCTCAAACAATAAATTACTAAAAACAAAAAACATTCAAACACACATAACCAACCACAAGCATGAAGCAACAATTTTTTTAAAAATTTCAAAGGAATACTCGAAAACAAAACTACTGACAATCAAAAACGTCACCAAAGAAATGAAAAATTGCTAAAGTTTCAAACACAAAAGAAAAAAAATTAATGATTTTCGAGTGGAAATTTTAATTCAATATCATCACCATTCAGTATTTTTTTAATATAAAAATCACAATAGACTACTAATATCAGTAAGAAATATTGCTCTCAAACCATACGACGATAAGTAGCGAAATTTCGCTAAAGAAAACAGTTAAGAAATAATGAATACAAAGTTTATTTTAAGTCCTCATCACTATGGCAATTAGGATTGAAATAGGACTCTAGGACCGATCATAGCAATTTCCATTTGAAGTGATCAGAGCGCAATACACTGCATATTTCAAACATTTATAAAGATCTTTTGGTCACTAATCACTACAAAAATAAATGCCGTTCCAACTAGCTATGGAATTGTCATCGTTTATCTAAGTATTGTCATCAAAATTACCAATATTATTGATATCAAAGGTGACAAAATGTTAAGGCTTTCGACCGAAATCCAAAAGGTTATGAATGGCTAAGATTGGCCGCGTTATATTGTATTGATGATGGATTTATAGTCATGGTCAAGAGGACTGAGTTCTCGCCTACCTGCTAACTGCCCTTTCTCTAGTTTTTTCTAAGCAACTCAGTTTCAACTGAGTTGCTTAGTAAACAGACTGAACAGCACAAGTAATAGAACAAATCCAGGATCTAAGCCGCTAAAACGATTCAAAACATCATACGATACTCTAGCGCTAGACATCAAACCCCGCAAATGGAAAATAGGTAAACAGCGCACGAGCTTTGTAGTTTAAAAATACCCTGCACGGATCTTTTCGGAGAAAGTCCTAGATTTGCTAGACGGATTAGCGGTTAATGAAGTCTGCCTCTAAAAAGAAGGTACTGCCCAAAATCAGTTTACTTAGGAAAATTCAATATCAGAGAAATATGTGTTACTATAGAAACGGTACACGCTATCAAACCCAATGTGTAGGAAGTGTCGAGTACTGATCAAAGCATCCGTAATAGTTCGTACAGACACACACAAATTTAGTTTTGCTTTAGAATGTATTAGAAACTAAGTTAATTAAATCATTTTTCTTCTTTTCTATTTTAATTTTGTTTTAGGGGATTTGCACCGTCTGTGTGTTGTGTCATTAACGTTAATGCCACCACGGAATGTACACTTTGTCGTGAAGCACGCCACAAAATGTTTTTGAAGGAAATTTATAAACAAGTTGGATTCAAATACTAGAAGATAAACTCGGGTTACTTCATTTAAAAATTAGCCGAGACGCTTGAGATATAACAGAAACGAAGACAGAACACAGAAGATGGAAGGTTGAACGAGAAAAAGTATGACAGCTTTGAGATAGATACAAGTGTAAAAGTGGTGAAGCCGCACACATATATGGTAAATTAACGAGGTACTGAGGTAGTCAAGGTGAGAAGCTCAAGTGCAAACACGTCTCATCCGATATTTCTGTTTGAAGAAAGGCAGAGTGAAGCTACGGGCAATTAAAACCCAATATAAAGAAAGAACTAACGGTAAAACATCTTACGTAAAGCCCTAAAAAGAAATTTGCCATCGAAACTTTACGTTGTTGTGTGAAATTGGAACACAGAAGCTAAAGTTCAAAACCGAATCAAGTTCTTTGAAACTTGAATAACTAGCTAAAACTTAGCGTTTAAAGTGTGAAACCCAAGAAAGATGGCTAGTACATTGAACATGAGTAATACTACTAACACAACTACACCAAAAGATGGGAATCTAATGCTAGAGAGCATACGGGTCTATTTTTTCTTGATCTACTATGTAATCCTCCTTGTAATGACTGTTGGAGGAAACACACTTGTTTGTCTAGCCATATATTTAGATAGAAGACTACGAAGTTCGACCAACTGGTTTGTGGCGAGTTTGGCTGTTGCAGATCTATTGTATGGCCTAGTAGGCCTGCCGTTTCGTATCGCCCAAACGTCTGGCACAGTTTTTGAACTCCATCAATGCTACACATGGATATGGGCTGATATGTTCTGTGCTGCAGCATCTATCGCAAACCTGGCGTTGATAAGCGTTGACCGCTACCTCAAGATAACCAAGCCCTTCCAATATCATGTGTATTTGACTCAAACAAGAGTGTTTATTGCAGTGGGTGCGGTATGGATCTACTCTGCTGTGCTTGCGTCGCTATCCTTGATTCGATGGCCCGGTGCACTGGGAGTCTTACTCGACCGAAACGCCTGCTTGAACATTAACCAAGTATTTTACACAGTGGCAAACATTGTCGCGTTTATTCTGCCACTTGCCATTCTGGTCATTAATTACGTCAAAGTGTTCGTCGAGGCTTTAAAGCAGTTCAACAAAATGAAGGAATTGACTGTCATCAAATGCAAGGAAGAAAAGCGGAAGCACAACAGCATCATGAAAGATTTTAAAGCTACAAAAACTTTAGCAGTCGTCATAGGTACCTTCACTATTTGCTGGTGTCCATTCTTCTTCCTATTCACGATTCTTCAATACAACCCAATGTTCCTCATCAGCCTACCCTACCCTTGGAACTACATAGTAATCTCAGTGTTCTTTTCAATCCTACCAAACCTCAACAGCGCCTGTAATCCATTCATCTATGCATACTTTAACAAGGACTTTAGAAGAGCTTTCAGAAAGATTGTGACGCGCTCCATGAGCGAACCAATGACGACTCAGCACGAACATTCAGGGGATTCGCCAGCACCTACTGGTCGACGTCGAAGCTCTGTGCTTAACTATTTTCTACTGCCCAAACACCCTCGACAGAGCCGACATAGCAGCCAAGGAAACTCGTTGTTCCCTCAGAATAATAATTCTAGCGATGTATAGCAAGAATGTTGATTGCTATTCTAATTTAAGAAAAGACATGTACATCATCTATCAGATGCGCAAACTTGTTGCGGCTGTCGTCGATCAAACAAATACTTTTTCTACAGAACTGCAAACTAAAAACATAAAAATTCCAAAAAACTACATCAGCCCCTGTTTCAATTAGCTGCTCTCGTTCTCGAATGAGTGCCGGCGTCTGAAACAGTCATACGCGCGAAAATGTTGTATTTGGACAGTTTCAGGAATTGTGGAGTAGAAATCGACGTTTCTTTCAGCTAAAATATTTAGAAGGATATGTAAGGGGAGTTTGTGCGTTAAGTACTGCGCTCCACTATGACAACTCCTTCAACTGGTCTTTTTGACCAGCGACGTAGATTGCAAGAAAGCCTCGGCGACTAAACTATCAGGAACATGTTCTCTACTGAATTAGTTAATAGTTATGTAAGAGCTACAAATACAAAATTAGGTTGTTCCTAGCTTGAACTCGGAAATAATTAAATTGAATGACCAGAGTTCTCGCGTTCAAAGCACTTACAAGAAGATAGAAAGGGAAAAGACATGGCCGCCATGTTGGATAAACTAATCCAAGATGGCGTCTATGACGTCACGTAAATGGGACAAATCATCTTTATATTGGCAAAAAAGCAGAGGAAAAAGTACAAAAGAAGAAACTTAGTATTTAAAACTACTGTACCATTCTCAGTCACCGGAAAAATTACTATTGCCTTGGATAGAAACTGTCCTCCGACCGGGAATGCGCTTTAGACACGGGCGGCATGGGTCATTCAGTCTATTTGCAGCTCTTAACCTAAAAAAATAGAGGTTTTGCACCAACACGTACTGTGGTCAGATGGCAGATAATAGAATAATAGAATGCATTTGATCTCGTGAATTGAATTCTTCGTCATGTGAAACGATTGTATTGTCACGTGATGATGAAAAACCTTTATAGGTGATGTGCATCATTTTCATCAGAATTTAAGGACCTACTCGCCATTTTGTTTGAAATAACAAAAGAAACCAAGAATGAAGCTTTTGTTCAAGTTCATCAGAATGGCGGCTTTGACGTACTTGGTTGAAGTCTTAAAATCACATGTGGATTTTAACATACGTGTGCATATATCTTTGGATTATTGAATATCAAAAACATTAAATTATTCAATATTTAGCGTCCATCTTAACGTAAAACCACGTTAAACGGGTATATAGTTTAGTTTCAGTTATAGAGCGGTTTTACTCATCCAGAAAATAGTAATTTAATACTAATAATTTTTGTTTTGATTACACTATATGTTATGAATAATTAACGATTTTTAGGAAGATCTTTTTTTAAGATTAGAGAACTATTTGCACGCGTTTTGACCAAATGAGTACGTAACTACTTGGATTTTAAAGAAAGAATAAGCTGGTGTTACGATAGAAGGGTGGGGTGGAGTAGGACAACTAGATGAACTTACCTCCCCTTTGAGAAAGATAACATAGAGAGCCCGATATTGAAAGCTGAGAGTGATTTTTCTCAGAACGTGAAACTGCTTCGTGTAGCAAACTAAGGGTTCGAGTCACTTTGGAAAAAAAAGAAAGAAAAATAGTGCAGTTTTTTAAACGGTACTAGTGATATTTTTTCAAACTGCACGAGAACCCGTTTGTTTTTCTCTCAATAATACGACTATCAATAAATTTTAATCAAAAATTTTTGTTTTCCTGTTTGTTTGTTTTTTGTTTGTTTTTTTTTTGTTTTTTTGTTTTTTTGTTTGTTTGTTTTGTTTTGTTTTTTTTGTTTTTTTTGTTTGGCACAGTAATTTCAAATCAAACAGAAATCGAGAATTTTTGATGGTCATATTATTATAGTAGTTAGTGTATAATAGTCAAATAGACACACACAAAACAATGGAAATGAAATCTTCTAACTCCTATTAGTCAACTATTTCACGGTCTGAGGAATATCACTCCAGGTAAAGTAAGAAGAGGGGGGGTGTACCCTCCCTTTTCTTATCTTGCCCAATGATTCCTGCGAGCATAAGTAATCGGAATGCAGAAAGAGAAAAACGATTTCAATTTCATTATATGCAATAGAATCAGGTTACTTGGTTGTACTGTTTCCTAATTTGGGTTCAATCCATATAAAGTTATCTACTTAAACAAAGGAATAACAATAAAGGGAATGGCATATGGCCTGAAATACAAAAAAAAACAACATTCGAGTGGATTGGATAATTGTAACATAGTTCATAACATATCAACTACAGACAATTTTGCCTGAGTGCACCACAATTAGTATCTCATAACAGAAAAACGTGCGAAAACTTTAGGTCGAAAATGGAAAAGAACGAATTCGGATCTGAAAATATTATAAATAAGCAAAGCATGGGCCCAGCCCAAGAACGAATTGTCTAGAAATATTCATTCATCACGAGTTAATTATTATTACAAATATAAGTTTGGATCAACTAAAGCATTTGATAATATAGCCATTACTACTTACACTACAATAGAATTGAAATAATAAAGAAATATGCAACTTCAATATCTTTTTGCTTTGTGCTTTAAAAGTCGGATAAGATACCTGGTATCCAGACTTTACTAAGAGATCAATGATCCCCTACACAATCGTTGACTTTGCCATGAGATCAGTGACCCCGTACACACTACCTTCTACCCAAAATTTACTAAGAAATCAGTGTTCCCAGACTTTATCATCAGTGTTCCCCAGCCCAATAATGAGTACCCAGACCTTAGGATGACATCGGTGGCCCTGTACCCAAAACCTTCTACTTCTACTTAAGATTTACCATTAAGTTAGTGTTCCCCTACCCAATACCTTGTACCCAGACTTTACCATGAGATTAGTAATCCTCTACCCAATATTTTGTACCCAGACCTTACTCCCTTACCCAATGCTTTGTACCCAAAACTTACCATGAGATTATAATCACATGGTAAATTTTGGGTAGTGATCCCTTACCCAATACCTTGTACCCAGAGTTTACCATAAGATTAGTGATCCACTACCCAACATCTATTTATAAACGTTGCCCTGGCAAGTGATCCAAGATTTAATAATCTCTTTAATTTGAGAAAAAGAATGTACAAATAAAAAAGACGGATGAGAATTTTGAGATATATTTTCTTTAGAAAGTTACAGTTATCAGCTATTCTCGATAAAGGAATGGCTGATGAGCGCTGCCCTACAGTACCTATCTAGCTGGCGAAGTAGTCGTCATCTATGCACAAGTGGGAAGACGGGATCTTAGACAAGTGGGAATAGCTTTCTTATCATGGTCATCTGTAAACAGATCTTCAATATCTTGTTGGTTTGACCTCCACTGGCTGATAATACCTCTATAAATGTTTGTTCCTTGTGCAGGTGTTTTAGCTTGAGGTAGTAGATGTTTCAGTGTTGGAAGGAGAAGCTTCCTTGTCTTGCTTCGTTTCTTCTTTTTCAGAGGAAGGTGGTGAGGCTTCATCGGGCAGTTGATCTCTATCACCTTTCTCTTCGGGTGGATCACACAGCTGAATAATAAAAGAACAAAGATAGTTAAACATGATGTAGATTGGCACGTTGAACAGCCCTGCTTCGACTGGCTTGAAAACATCTTCGAAACCAATTACAGCGTGCTATATCAATGCTTATCCAACCAAAATGCTTGGACGTAGTAATGCACTGTAAGGGCACGGCATGGCAGGGCATAGAGCATTTTTCGAATGACTATGAAAAGCTCAACACATGAACACGGTCGTGACACGACATAAGGCATTGCCAGACCAATCACATTACACGAGAATTTACTCTTCATCCAATCAAATGCCAAGGTCACAGCACTGCCAGACCAATCACATTGCGCGAGAAAAAAAAATGAACGAATCAAAATTCTAGAAAACATCGCAATCGCGGTAAGGTACAAATACGGCACCGACTTTTTCACAGTCATGAAAACTGCTCAAAGTCAAAACATTTTCATTGGATAAGCAGTCTCGAGTGCCTTGATCTGTGCAATGAAGATGGTCAAGTGTTTCTTGGTGCTAATGATACTGATTGCTCACCTTTTTCAAAGCATTGTTGAACTTTTCGCTGTCGTCGATAAACTTTCGCTTTTTGCTCTCGAATTTTTCCTCGATCTGCTGAAGCTCAGATTCCAGTTTTTTCTTGGATAATAAATGAGCACGGAGATATGCATGGCAAAATTAAAATAGTGTAAAATGAGATTTTTATCCGATGTTGAGGCTTTTATAATTTTTTTATAACATGCTTTGGAAGCAAAGATCCTTAAACATGTTCAAGAACGCCAGAGAAACACCGGAAATCGAAAATTTATAAATTACACTTAACCTTTTTCAAATAAAAGAAATTCATTTGAATACACCCAACACTGTTGGACCAGCGAGTATTTACGAGTTAAGGAGTTAATATTACACAATGTGGAAAACGAATAAGTGCAGCTAGGCGTGTATTAAAATGATTTACACTGCATGAAGTGATGTGTAGAAGGAATACATGCGCAACTAAGCTGAACCTTTTTTATAACAT